ATCCTATACATATACATATACATATCATTATATCAATAAATATACATCAATAACCAACATACAATATATATAATATCACACACTAACTACATAATATATATATAATACATGCCATACATATATACATATACAATATAACATCAACAACATACCAATACATACAACATATATATACATACTACATATATATACATACATAATACATATACATATACATATACAATATAATACTACATATCATTACAATACATATATAACACAACACAACCAATCACCACCAATACACTTAACATACATACATATACAATATATATTAATATTATATAATATACATAATAATATATATATCAACATATACACTATGTATAATAACAATATACACATAATACATATACCATATATATATATATAATTAACCATTATACAATACATACAATATATATATACACAACATCATATATATATCATATATATATATATTCATAAATACATTATACATTAAAATATAATATTAATATATAGTATTATATATACATACATACAATAATACTCAATATACTATATATACATACATACATACAATACAATATACATATGTACAATGATATACATACATACACACATATACCATATACATTAAATACAATACATAACACAATATAACATCATATACATATACATATATACATACATAGCCATATCAAATAACATACTAACATAATTAACTACTATACCATACAATAATACATTAATATACAATAAAATACATATAAACCATGACATATTAACAAAATTATAATACTATACCATAACATATATCCATATTATACTAATATACATATAACAATATTAACATATACATATCATATATATATATATATATTATATATATATATATATATATAGTATATAAATATATTATATATATATATATATAATAACTAATGCTCACATAAATTATATATATAATAACATATACATATATTAATATATATCATAACATAATATATATAATACATATATACATACAAATATATATATACATACATACAGTATCCAATTAACAATACATACATACATATATATATATACAATACATATATATATATATACATATACATATATATACATACATTATATAGCATAAATTACAATACATACATATATATAAATACATACAATATATACTATATTACATATCACTATATAACATACATATACATATATACATGAGATATTATCAATAACATGATATATACATAATACATATCATAATTAAATTATACATACAATACATATATCAATATATCATTATACATATATATATACATACCATATACATATATACATTACATATAATCAATAACATTATAATATACATTATATTACATTAACAAGTGAGGTTATACAATCATAACATATATAAATAATACATACATATATATATACATTAACATACATATAAATACATAAGACATAACAATATAATAATTATGTATATAACATATACTACATATTATATACATATACAATATACATAATATATACATATACATACATATATATAACATATAACATATCATATTTACTAAATATAATACAATATACATACATTAACAATATAATAAATATATGATTAATATTAATATATATATAGTAATATAATATTAATATTAAGATAATATATAATACATACATATATATATTATATACATATACATACGTAATATACTATAAACATAGTATAAGATATAAATATACATATAACATTTAACGTATAATATATATAAATACAAATAACATATATCATAACAAATTAAATACATACATAATACAATACATTATACATACCATACATAAATCACAATATTAATATATATAATAGCTATAAGGAATATACATTATAAGACTATTAGATAATATAATATATAAAGCTAGATTATAATAATAATATATATAGCTTATAAATAGATAAATATAACTATAATGCTATTAGATATATAATATATATAGTCTATATGGATATGAGGGCTATAGCTATCAGCTGATAGCTAAGTATGCTAGATATATAGCTTATAGCTAAGTGCTGATTAGGATTGATGTTAGCTAGTATGCTATGAGCTGAGTAGCTATATTAGTGTATAGGGTTAGCTGATTAGAGCGTAAGCTAGTATAGTTAGTGTTGTGTGTGTGCTATAGGTTAGGTGTATAGCTTATAGGCTATATAATTCGATAGGTACTATATATATGCGGCTATAATATATGTGTTTGGGCTATCAGATCAGAGTATGTGCTATTATGAATGATAGATAGATAGATAGCATAGATATTACAAGATAGCATGATTACATTGTATAATACCAAGATACACTATATATACATATTAATATACAAGTATATACAATATACACTATATATACCAAGATACTAATATACAGATACATAATAATATATATATATATATATAATACTACATATATTATATATATAAATATATAATTAATATATATAATTAATATATATATAATATACATACACCCACCATATACATAGATTTATACACACATTATATATAATACACACGCCACACGCCAACACACACACACATATAATATAATATATATATTTAGTGGTGTGTGTGTGTGTGTGTGTGTGTGTGTGTGTGTGTGTGTGTGTGTGATGTGTGGTGTGTGTGTGTGTGTGTGTGTGTGTGTGTGTGTGAGTGTGAGTGTGAGTGTGTGAGTGTGAGTGTGAGTGTGAGTGTGAGTGTGGTGTTGAGTGTGAGTGTGAGTGTGAGTGTGAGTGAGTGTGTGTGAGTGTGAGTGTGAGTGTGAGTGTGTGAGTGTGAGTGTGAGTGTGAGTGTGAGTGTGTGTGAGTGTGTGTGTGTGTGTTGGTGTGGTGTGTGTGTGTGTGTGTGTGTGTATCTACATGTATCTATACACACACACACACACACACACACACCACACACACACACACACACACACACACACACACACACACACACACACACACACACACACACCACACATATATATATATATATATATATATATATATATATATATATATATATATATATATATATATATATATATATATGTATGTACGTATATTACAGATTCTGTTTTTCCTCTCAGTCCGTCCCTCCTTCGGCGACACCCCTCCTTCCCTCCTTCCTCATTTAAGTCCCTCCTCCCATCTTCATTATCCCGTCCTTTCAACCCCGCCCCACGGCATCCCTGGCCACCCTCCTCCGCCGCCCCTACGTGTCCCCTCCTCGCCCAAACCCCGATCCGATCCAGGGGTAACTAGGCCAAATCAATATAGTGGAGGACACGCGGCCATGGCACAGGACTCCGCGACGTCAGAGGAGGGAAATGGGTCAAAATTTCCTCCCTCGCGGTCGGGCCAAGCTGTACTCAGCTTCAGGAGGGTCGGACGAGGCGCTTGCCCGCTGTTTGAAAGGCCTGTGATTGTACACGTTATGCTTTTTTTTTTTTTTTATTTAATTTATTTTTTTTTTTTTTATTCCTTTATAATTTCTTCTCTCTCTCTCTCTCTTTGTATTTCATTTATTTTTATTTATTTATTTTTTCTTTATTTTTTTTCTCTCTCTCTTTGTATTTTTTTTTTATTTTCATTGATCTTTTCATTGGTTTATACATATATATCTTTTTTTTCCTCTTTTCCTTTATTTTTTGTTTACGGAAATTGATCCTTTAATGTGTGAACCCTTGTGCGTAGCGGGGAAGAAAATCAAACGATTCATTAAAAGACGCTAGTGATAAAAATATAAAAGACCCACGGAAGTATACGCACACTTACACATCAAAAAGAGAGAGGGAGAGAGGGAGAGAAAGGGAGGAGAGAGAGAAATCAGAGAGGAGAGAAAAGGAGGGGGAGAGAGGGAGAGAAAAGGAGGGGAGAGGCAGAGGGAAGAAGAGAGAAAGGGAGGGGAGAGAGAGAAAGAAAAGGAGGAGAGAGGAGGGAAAGGAGGGAGAGAGAGAAAAGGAGAGAAAAGGAGGGGGGAGAGGGAGAGAAAAGGAGGGGGAGAGGGAGAGAAAAGGGAAGGAAGAGAGAGGGAGGTGGGAGGAGAGAAGAGAAGAGAAGAGGAGAGGCGAGGAGAGGAGAGGAGGAGAGAAGAAGAGAGAAAGAAGAGAGGAGAGGAGAGAAAAGAAAAAAAGAGAGAGAGAGAGACACTTGTCCGTACAAGCGCCCCAACGCGGCTCCTCCGAGGTCGCCGTGGCAGAACTCGATACAAAAAGTATCCGATCTCCCTGCTATTATCTGACCCTCTTGCTTGGTCACGCTCATGCCCTTGTCCTGCTCCGCGGCCCTTGCCCCATCGACTCAATCAGAGGCAGGTATGCAGGGCCTCATGCAGCCTTGCCAGGTGCTGCTCTTGCTTCGTTCTTAAGGGTAACTACGATTTTTATACTGTCCATCTGTTTCTCTGTTGTTGCTTCATCGATTCACGTCTGGTTCATCCTTGACACGGCGGACGTACAAAAGCTCAAGTGAAGCAGAAGTTTAAAAGATAAGAAAGGAGAATGGAAAAAAGAAAGGAAAAGAAAAAAAATCGACGGCGCCATCACCAACCACTTTCTTAATGAAATTTCTTTAGTCTGCGGTCCGATGCTGCCACCTCCGAGACAGGGAACATTTACGTTTTCTTTCGGTTTTGAAATCCATTTTCTGTAATGGAATTCGCCGGTACTCGGGCCAACTTTTACATTCCAATCTATTTTCTATTGAATGGCCAAAGAAAAGCCATATTGTTATACATATATCACCGTTATCTGTTTACTTGCATTTTTGCATGTAATAAATAGCATGTAAGTATATTGCATGTGAAATTATGCCTTGAATGATGATATCTCTATAGTAGTGTATCAGTTAAAAGACATTCAAAATAAGGAAGAATAAAGGAATTCCCTCTTTGCTAAAAATAACCTACATATATATAATACAAATATAAAAACATAGATAAACTTACCTCATGTTTGGCGTACATGAGTGTCACCTCGTCACCATCATCTGTAAGAGAAAACGGGGTTTATTTAGCACAGACTCCAAAATATCTTCGAAATTTTCATACAAGAGCAATGAAAATAAGCAAAGGGAAAATAATTGACAAATACGAGCAGAGACGGAAATCAAAATGAACGAAATATACATAATTCTGACAATGTTAAACAACGCGTCAGTATTAAGGAAACAACACTAACACAAACAAGGAAAAAATAATAAAATAAAATCGAACAACTAGCAATTGCACCGAAGTCCCCAATCAATATCACAACTATTTCCAAACATAAACAAATACACTGGTACCCCCCTCCCCCTTCCCCCCCTCCCCCCCTCACACACTCACACAACTTTGGCACACAATTCACGGGCGTCTCTATCGGGATAATAATTTAGTACCTGACTTTATCTCCTAATAGAAAGGAGAAGAAATGGCTGGGGGAGAGGGGGAGGGAGAGAGAAGAGAGGAGAGAAGGAGGAGAAGAGGAGAGGGAGAGAGGAAGTGCGAGGAATGTGGCAAGTCTAAAGTCAATGACTAAATTCGTTTCGGTCTATCTAAGAGAGAAAGAGGGAAGCAGACAGACCGAAAAGATGGGGATGGAATCTATATAGAGAGAAAGAGGGAGGGACGAAGAGAAAGGGCGAAAGGAGGAGTGGGAGAGAAGGAGTGAAAGAAGAGAAGAATGAGTAAAGAGAGAAGGAAGAAGGGAAGAGGAAGAGATGGGGTATGGATTTGGGAGAAAGATAGAGAGGCAAAGAGAGAAGGAGGACGACGAGGAGCGAGAAGAGAATGAGCGAGAGAGAGAAGAATGAAGAGAGAGAGAGAGAGAGAGAGAGGAGAGAGAGAGAGAGAGAGAGAGAGAGAGAGAGAGAGAGAGAGAGAGAGAGAGAGAGAGAGAGAGAGAGAGAGAGAGAGTCCCCAAAACAAACATTCACATTCACATCTCGATCTACGTGGTCTTGCTAAAACAATAATGACTCGATAATTGAATTTCAAATTCACAGTTTTTATTCTCGTTATCAACTTACCTCGAAATGATTATTAAACAATAATCCCTTTTTCAACTTTTTTGAGAAATAAACATACAACCAAACTCGTTAGGTAAGTGAATAAATGGATAAGTGAATAAATAAAAAATAAATAAAAATAAAAAAAAATCGCGTCCATTCATTTTTATTCCCATTATTTCTCTCGAATAATAATACCATAAATTGGTTTATATTTTGCTCCCTAAGCTGTTAATACTAGCAGATATTACTCTTATATCATCAATTGCAGTAGTAGTAATATTGATAATTAACTATGGTGATGATAATGGTGGCGATTATGGCGATGATAAGCAACAGTAATGATGATGGTGAATAATGGACGATGTTGGTGATGATGAATGATGCTGCACGATGATTATGGTGACGATGATGGTGATGATGGTGACGGTGATTGTAATGGAGATGGTGGGGATTGCTGATGATGTTTATCTATATCCTTGAAATATATGATAAGCAACTGTGAACCAATTGTCCCATAGCCTTTAATAATACGTACATAATGCCTATAAAGTAAGAGAGTCAGTGAGTTATCGTTTAGTTAGTGCTCGTGTCAAGAGAGAAAACGGAACCCTCGATTTCAGAAAGAGAAAACGGAAATTTCCCTTTCGCTCTCTAGACACGGCATTTTGTATTCAGAAAAATGCTCAGATTATTCTTTCAATTGGATCGAACCTACAGTAACAAACAAGACTACTTCAAAAGCAACCATCACCAAATATCCCTACATGTGCAACTCTTGAGAACTCCTTCCGCATGCGACAGATGGCGCCACTGACACCCGGGGAACTATAATCTCCTTTACCACCAACAGATGGCGCAGGGGTACGTTTCTGTGACACTCACGCCCCCAAACTTCTCCCAAACTATCTGAATTACTGTGGTAACTCATTGTCTTGATCAGCGGGCGATATAATAGAGCTCGGCATAAATCAAAGTGTCCCAGCGTTTACGACAATGACGAGAAGCTCGCTGGAAAATGGTTGTGGTTTAGTGGAATTAGTTTACAGCGCTTTCTGTCCTCCTTGATAAATCTCTCCCTGGGGACTGCACGCGCTTGGAATGAGTGGTCACAGTTTATTCACCTTGCATGCAGAAGGCAATAAACGGCTTAATTAGCTATTATCATACCATTGATATTACAGTAATAAACATAATTAATCATGGATATCTAGATTTCCGAAGATCTTATTAAGAATAAATAACGATGATTATGATAAAAAGAAATATGAATCCGTTAATCTGGTTTATGACAATAACTGCCAAAACAGTAGCCTTTTTAAAAGAAAGTAAAGACTACCAAACGTGATAAAAACCTTAATTAAAATACACAAGAAAACACAGCATCTGACGACTTGCAGAAGCAGTAATTCTCCCAAATAGAGATTAATGAAGATAAAGCCGCACTATGTCAAACTTGAGACAGGAACCACGGCCAAAACTTTCTATTTTGGTTATTCATTTTATTATTATCTTTATTATTATCTTTATTATTTTTTTTTGTATCCGAGGCAATGTCAACCTTTGCAGCTTTACACAACACGTGAAAAGACATAATAACCACAACAACAACAACAACAACAACAACAATAATAATAATAATAATAATAATAATTAATAAAATAATAATAATTAAATAATGAATAACAATAATTAAATTATTTAGCATTTACGTAAACACAAAATAAACACAAAGAAGGAAGAACGAAAATCGAATAAATCTGATGCTGAAATGCTGATGAAATGAGGTTGATAGAAAAATAGAAATTGAATGATAGGCATACGGCATGTTAACTGGCACGAGAAAATAAATAGTTGAGGGGAAGAGACACGACATAGATACAGGAATAAAGCAGAAAAGAAAGGGGGATGAAGTAGAGAGAGAGAGAGAGAGAGAGAGAGAGAGAGAGAGAGAGAGAGAGAGAGGGAGAGAGAGAGAGAGAGAGAGAGAGAGAGAGAGAGAGAGAGAGAGAGAGAGAGAGAGGAGAGAGAGAGAGAGAGAGAGAGAGAGAGAGAGAGAGAGAGAGAGAGAGAGAGAGATAAAGCAGGGGGAGAAAGGAAAAAAAAAAGAAAGAAAACGAAAGAAAAGGAGATAAAGAGAGAGAGATAGGGAAGTGCAAGGAACCACCGCACAGAATGGACAGGCCGGAGGTGACGCGAAGGAAGACAGGGAAAGAGGGGGGAGACAGGGAAGAAGAGGGGTAGAGAATGGAGGGAGGGGGAGGACCCATCCACCACTAGTTCCAATAATGTAGTTAGAACAGCTCTTTGCCTCCATTAAGTGACCCTGCTTGTGTCAGGGACGTACTCTGACCTGTCGCGTCTCTCACGGGGGACTTATGGCGGCGTCCTGCGAGAACCCGGGGGACAAAAAGACGCTCTCGGGGGGTACTTGGCACGGGGGGTGAAAAGGGGGGGGGGCGGAGAGGACAAGAGGAGCAATCCGCCGGAAGTACGAGTGTCTTGTAGAGCCATGGGGTCTTGTGGGGTTTTCTGGGGGGGGTCTTTGTGGGTCTTTTGGTTAAGGAAGGGTTGGAAGGAGGACAAGAAGGGGAGGGGAAGGGAAAGGTGTTGAAACAGAATGAAAGAGAGAGAGAAAAAGGAGAAGAGGAGGTGAAGGGAGAGAAGTGGAGAGGAGAATAGAGGAAAAGAAAATAGGGTTGAGGAAAGGAGAGCAGAGAGAGAGAGAGAGAGGCAGACAGACAGAAAGAAAGTAAAAGACGGATAGAGAAAGAGACAGACAGAGAAAGAGATAATATAGAGAGAGAAAGAGAAAGAGAGAGAGGACGCGAGGGCGTGGGCGGGGCGGGGGCGTCGAAGTCGTGGGTGGAAGTGTGGGGGGGGGGGATGCGGGTTGAAGGGGGGGTTGGGGTATGGAAGGTCATCTTTAACAGCAAAGAAAACACTCCATCGTCATTCCTATCCAGTTCTAACTCGCCGTCTCTCTCTCCTGTCTTTTCCTGCCTTCCCATCCTCGCTATCTACTCCTATCGCCCTCCCCTGTTCATCACTCGCTTTTCTTATCCCTCCTTATCTTCCATATCCTCCCTCCCCTTTTTAACCACTCCCCTTCATTCCTTTCGTCACAATAACAGTTAAAATTCCTAAAAATAAATGGAATATAAGCACAACAAAAGGGTTAACGAATAATTTTCCTCTTATTATCATCATTACTATTAATCAATCGCTTTATCTCATGTTCCCTTTCTCCTCTTTATTCGCAATACACTCCAGACTCAGTTCGCTTATCTGCCTGTACGAAAAAGGTATCAAAGACTTTAAAAAAAAAAATATGTTGGATTGCTATCAATGAATTAATTATTCACTGTCACTCTGTCTCCTACTTCTCCCTTCTTTCTTTCTCTTCCCTCTCCCTCTCCTCTCTCTCTCCTCTCCCTCCCTCTCTCTCTTGCCTCTTCTCTCTCTCGTTCTTCCCTCTCTCTCAACACTCATCCCTCTCTCTGCACTCATCCCTCCCTCTCTTTCTCTCTCTTCCCCTCCTCCTCCTCTCCTTCCCTCTTCCCTCCTCCTCCTCCTCTCCTCTCCTCCTCCTCCTCTCTCCCTCCTACTCTCCCTCTCCTCCTCCCTCCTCTCTTCTCCTCTCCTCCTCTCCTCCTCCTCTCTTCCCTCTCCTCCTCCTCCTCTCATCTCGCCTCTCCTCTTCCTCCTCCTCTCTTCCTCTCTCCTCCTCCTCCTCTCTTCCCTTCTCCTCCTCCTCCTTCTCTCCCTCTCTCCTCTCCTCCTCTTCCCTCTTCCTCTCCTTCCTCTTCTCTCTCTCCTCCTCCTCTCTCCGCTCTTCCTCCTTCCTCTCTCCTTCTCTCTCCTTCTCTTATCCCTCTCCTCCTCCTCCTCTCTTCCCTCTCCTCCTCCTCCTCTCTTCCCTCTCCTCCTCCTCCTCTCTTCCATCTCCTCACTCTCCTCCCTCTCTCCTCTCCTCTCCTTTCCTCTCTTCCCTCTCCTCCTCCCTCTCTCTCCTTTCCTCCTCTCCTCTCCTCTCCTCTCCTCCCTCTTCCCTCTCTCCTCCTCCTCTCTTCCTCTCTCTCCTCTCTTCCCTCCCCTCCCTCTCTTCCTTCTCTCCTCCTCTCTCCCTCTCCCCTCCTCTCCTCTCCGCTCTTTCTCCCAATCTCTTCCCTCTTCTCTCTTTTTCCTCCTCACCCTTTTCTTAATCTTCTCCCTCTCCCCTTCTTCCATCCCGTGCCCCACCTCTACCCCACTCCCCCTTTCCCCCCTCCCCCCCCCCCATCTCTCGTTGTCTTGCTCATTCTCATTTCTCATTCTCTATTGTATACCTGCACGCTATCTTCTGACTGTGGTAATGGCAGAGACAGCGGAGGATTCTCGGGGAAATCACAAACAAGCCTTCAACAGCTTCCGTTCGGGACGCCCAACGCTGATACTGGGGAAGGGGTGTGGCTTGGGTGGGGTGGGGTGGGTGGGTGGGTGGGGCTGGGTGGGGGCGGGGTGGGGCCGGGGTTGGGGTGGGGGTGGGGGGGGGGTTGGGCTGGGTGGCCGGGGGGGGATGGAGTCTGGGTGGAGGGTATGGGATGGGGCGGGGGCGAAGTACTCCGACAGCTGGGTTAATAACAGTTCGGTTGGTACTGGTAATTCGGTTTATAAAGACAATCTGTTCCCTGACTTTGTATCCGAGAGCGGTGAGGGAGGAGGGAGGGAGAGAGGGAGAGAGGGAGAGAGGAGAGAGAGAGACGATAGGACAGAGAGAGAGACGAGATTAGAGAGAGAGAGACGAGAGACGAGAGAGAGAGAAGAAGAGATGTAGAGAGAGAGAAGAGGGAGGGTGAGAGAGGAGAGAGGGGACGAGAGGAGAGATAGGAGAAGAGGGAGAGGGAGAAGAGAAGCGAGAAGAGAGAGGGAGAGAGAGAGAGAGAGAGATGAGAGGAAGACGGGGAGATGAGGAGGGGAGAAGGGAGGAGCAGAGGGAGGACGAGAGAGGGAGCGGAAGGGAAGAGGGAGCAGAGGGAGAGAGGGAGAGAGCAGAAGAGAGAGAGAGAGAAGAGAGAGACGAGAAGAGAGAGAGAACGAGAGAGAGAAGAGAGAAGAGGAGAGAGAGAGAAGAGAGGGGAGGGAGAGAGAGAGAGGGAGAGAAGGGAGGAAGAGGGAGAGAGGAGAGAGAGAGAGAGAGAGAGAGAGAGAAGAGAGAGAGAGAGAGAGAGAGAGAGAGAGAGAGAGAGAGAGGAGAGAGAGGAGAGAGAGAGGGAGAGAGAGAGAAGAGAGAGAGAGAGGAGAGAGAGAGAGAGAGAGAGGGAGAGAGGAGAGAGAGAGAGAGGGAGAGAGAGGAGGAGGGAGAGAGGGAGGAGAGAGAAGGGAGGAAGAGAGGAGGAGAGAGAGGAGGAGAAGGAGGAGAGAGGAGAGGGAGAGAGGAAGAGAGAGAGGAGAGAGAGAGAGAGAGAGAGAGAGAGAGAGAGAGAGAGAGAGAAGAGAGAGAGAGAGAGAAGAGAGAGAGAGAGAGAGAGAGAGAGAGAGAGGAGAGAGAGGAGAGAGAGAGAGAGAGAGAGAGGAGAAGATAGAGAAGAGAGAGAGAGAGAGAGGGGGAGGGGAGGGGAAGGGGAGAAAGGGGAGAGAGAAAGAGTGAGTGTGTACTGATAATTCGGTTATACAGACAGCTCTGTCCCTATGAACCTTGGGTAAACACAGAGCGGAGAGCGATGATATAGAGAAAGAGAGAGAGAAAAAGAGAGAAAGAAAGAGAGAAACAGAAAGAAGAGAAAAAAAGAAAGAAACAGAGAGAGATCGCAGTGGTGAAGCCCCTGCGGCGTCTGGCGAAGATTTAAATGTCATAGAAATGTTAGGTTCTACGTGTGTGCTCACTTCGTCTTGATGTTGCCCGGTCACGATGCAGGGACTGACATAAATACTTTGTTGATATCAAGTATGGGTAGAAAAGCGTATGATAGTGTACAGTACAGACAAAGAACTGGTTGAAATAGATTTTTTTTTTGGGGGGGGGGCTGAATATATGCAGATGCAATCATCATCTATCTAAATTCGCGTAGTGAAAATTTCCCCCGGTTGACAGCACCCTGCACCCGCTGGCTAAAAGAATGCATTAACATATATTTGCTGGAAGGCTACTGGGAAAGACTGGCGAAATATAATTACATATGTAATAAGATTTATTCCAACTGTTGAACTTTTAAGCTAAAAAAATAAAATCTCCGTTCAGAAGACATCCATCCATCAGCATGTAACAAATTCATAATCAATTTATTACTATAATTCAAAAGGAAAAATAACTTTGTCCGAAATGAGCCGAGGCCGTTGAGACAAGGCAAGGAGCAGTAGGCTTACGGCGAAGACAAAAGAGGAGGATGGAGAAGCCAGAGATAAGAGCATTAAGAGAATATCCGAACAAAAGGACGATAAGGGAAGCAAAGCCAAAGGCAGGGCGCCGAGCGACGTAGGCTAATGATCCACCCGACGGAGATAAGACGAGCTAATGTCACGTCAAGTCACGCTAAATCAGGATAACCGGCCCTGTCTCATTCCGTAACAAAGACGAAAAGGCCAACAACCGCCTGAATAAGGGAAAAAAAAAAGACAGCGCTGACGAGGACAGGCCAGGTCGAGTCAGCAACGGCCCGCCATACCACGTCGACGGAGATGAAGTCGGCGGCGTGAATCACCTGGACGGGCGCTGGCCAGGAGAGCGGGCCGGGGACGCCGTGGACTGTCGCGCTAAAATGGACTCTCTCGTTGCATAAATCTTTCGAGGTTCAGCCCAAGCCGCCTCACGTCCATGAAATGATTATGATTCCATTATTATTAAGAAGATATGAATGTGGAATTTCGTCATTCATAATATAATATTCTAAATGAGAAATTCGGAGGGTTAACCGCCTTTCTATTTTAAAGAAAATAGTTAACACTCGAAGGTTATATACTTTAATATTTGGCTAGACAAAAATATAATAAATTTTAAATCACGCATAAATCACAACTGGACATCTTACTATTTCATTCATAAAACATTTCCTCCCTAAAAGATCGAGTAAATGAAACCGTGGCTACAGCTCCGTAGATTTTATCAACCATAACTTGTGTCGAGATGCCTGTAAAGCGAACGCCGCTTGCGACTCGCCCTTTCCTGCTCTCGCCGTTTTACATTTCTTTCCTCTTTCCAAGTTCCTATATAAGCTGCTAGAGCCAGTGAGCAGGGCGAGGCGCAGAAGGCCACGCCAGGGCTGCAGCCACCACCACTGTATCGGGATCAAAACGCAATCACAAGCTCTGGATAATTAATTAACTGAGACCCACCATACGTGACGCTGTTAACACGAATTGGAGGGACGGGGAGAGGAGGAGGAGGGACGAAGGAGAGACAAAGGGTAAATATAATCGATAACGTGGGAAGAAGAAAAAAGGGAAAGAGTACGTGAAACGATTTGCATAGGACGGAACGAAAAAAAAAAGAAGCAATAGGGGGAAGTGTCAGGAAGGCTGGGAATAGGAGAAAGAAA